CATTTCAGAGGATCCCAGTCAATCTTTAAAAAAATTCAGATGTAAATAAAATATGAGGGTTGAGAAATGTAGGGGGTGGGTAATTTTACGCACATCATAGATTTTCCCGTACATCAGCCCTTAAAAATATTCTTAGCAAACGGATCACGTACCTAACGGCCGCGTCTACTTCTGCTCCCGGTTCTGGCTGTGCTGGGGCCACAGTGCCACGTCTAGCCGGGCTAGTTGCCAGAGAGAGGCAACGGTGACAGATGGACCGTTAGGGCAGAGAAAGAATTTCTAAGGACTAACCGTATGGACCTGTTTTTTTTTTCTCAGGTGGTCAAGTTTGTGCTGAACATAATTATTTATGAACCGATAACGGCGAATGGCAGAGTGAACCTAATTGATGCCATTTTAGTATAGGTTTGTTGATTCAGTTACTGACGAGGATAGACGAAACCGGATATACGTATGTAAATATAAACACGTTGAATCCAATCGCATCATGCGTTACGCCGCAAACTCACATATTCAATAACTTTTTCGTAATTTAATTCAATGAACGCTTGCAGAATAATCTATCTGCGGACTACTCAAATGTAACTTTGGTCGCGTGATTTTGATTAGTTTGTCCGAAAAGCAGAAGGATTGGAAATTTAATTTAAAACTTCGCCAAGCGGAGCTATAAAGTTCAATTATTTTTGGAGAGGATTAACTTCACTGCTGACCTTATAAAGATCTAATCAACGGATTCGTTAATTAAATCATGTGCCTCAGTATTTTATAACGTTTGGCGAGCAACTTATAGTTTAAGCTCCGGACCTGTCCAGAAATGTGAGAAAATAATGAAATATGTGATAAATGAAGATAAAGCGGTCCTGCAGGGCGTCGCGGAGAGATTAAAAATGACCTTGGTAGACGGAGCATGTTTTGTAAATCATAATAAAACGTTAGTGCTCCAAAGTATTTTCCACGCAATGTTTGTTGAGAAATAATTTTCTGTTTGGTTTTCTAAACCAAACTGAATTTAAGTTATGGTCTTTAAAACAAACCCAAACAAATACCATGCCGTCTCCCTACGTACTTAACAGATCCGGTCCACTGTTAATGTCTATTCCGCAGTGTTAAAAGCTCATTATTGTGACATTATATTAACATAATACTACTAATACCTACTGGTGCAAATTATGCAAGAAGTACCATGTCCTGAAATCATCTAACACCACAATTACCGGCAAACACTTGCAATTTTAAAATATAACGCTAAAACCAAGAATTTAATGACAGAACTTTCAAAAAATTAACTTATGCCAAGTCCACTTGCAGTATGCAATTTCATCCCGAGTACCGACTGGTATTTTGGTGAAAAACCAATCATAGGCATTCTCCTTCTTCCTTCCCTGAATTCGTTGGTTGAAACAGATGTTATTTAATTCGTATCTTGTATGAAAGTGCGAGTGTTAGTAGAGAGTAGTGCGAGAGAGAGAGAAGGATCATGCGGAGAAAGGTATATAACAAATAGAAAAACAACGGACAAAATCCGCAAAAACAAATAAAGTGGATTCGAGCAGAAAATAGGATAGGTAACCCGAGCGATACGTATTTCTGCTTGTTGGCTTCATCAGACCAGAAATCAATGCGCGTATGCAACCACAAAAGTAGATACACATGCCCGTACACCCGGATTCGGGTGTAACCTGAGTAAACGAATATGGAGAGGGAAAAAAATGACTCATTAAGTCACCAACAAGAGCCAACCTACAAATTGTAGTATAAAATGTCCAAAAGACCTCGAATTTTCGAAGCGACATCTAACCACAACCACGCGGTCGGTTATAGTCAGTTGCCGTGGTACTTCAAGCCCAAAGGATCTGCAAAGAGAAAAGGATCATGCGGATAAGGGTATATAACAAATAGAAAAATGATGGACAAAATCCGCAAAAAGAAGGAAATTGGATTCGAGCAGGAAATAGGATAGGTAACCCGAGCGATACGTATTTCTGCTTGTTTGCTTCATCAGGCCTGAAATGAATGCACTTATGCAGCTACAATTGTAGATGCACATGCCCATTACTCCGAATACGGGTGTATACAAAAAAAAGTAAGACGGAGAGGGAACAAAACGACACATGAAGTCATTCATTTTCAAAAAGTCAAACTGGTGGATCCAGTATGATGGCTATGTTTACAAAAAAATTGTCCATCGCGCTCAAATTGCAGTTTTATATGTTTCCATGATATAATTTATATATTATTGTATAACGCCGCATAATTGCCAAACTTACAGTCAATTGCAGCCAAATTGTATATCTTAACTGGGTGTCAGATAAACATGCTACTATTCATCGGACTGTGCTTTTCAAACTCTTTTTGAATTTACTAATTACGGAAAACATAACAATTACATATTGATTGACGAGTTTTGCAATGCCATATCATAATAACTATACATGCTTTTGACTCCGCAATCCATTTTGCCACATCCCAATACAGCTGATTTATTTAAAACATGACAGTGTTCCATTATTACATTTTTTGCACTTCTGGCCAGGTTCACAATATCTCGAAATAATATAAATCGAAATATTTATCCATCACAGTAGATATATATACAGGGTGTTCCATAATTATTGCGACAAAATGATAGGGGTTGTAGAGGGCTTCAAAATGAACAATTTTGCCTTATAAACCCCTGTTCGGAAATATGCCGTTTGGGCTGCAGCAAAAAAAAAGATCAGTTTCTTGAAACAGCTTACCTACAATAATTGCTTGAAGTGTCCTCCACCTTGCTCAGTACACAGCTGTGCACGATTGTTCAATGATCGGCGAACTCTGTGGCATTACCCCGGTATGTCCTGAACATGTGCGGACGCGGCCATCACTCTTCCCAGTAGCTCTTGTTGGTTGGGTACAGTAGTTTCGTACACTAAAGCTTTCAGATGGCCCCAGAGAAAATAATCCAGTGGGGTCAGGTCGGGTAACCGCGCAGGCCAAGGCACAGGGCCACCTCGGCCTATCCACCTATTTGGAAATTTGTCGTCCAAATACTGCCGCACTTGTAAAGAAAAGTGGGCTGGAGCGCCATCGTGTTGAACCCACATGTTGGCTCTTATGTTCAGTGGCACATTTTCCGGTAGCACATGCTGTAAGAATCGACCATAAGCATGTCCATCCAAACGTGGTGGAAGCAAATATGGCCCGATGATATGCTCGTCCACAATGCCGCACCAGATGTTAATTGAAAACTGATGTTGGTCTCTATGGATGGCTATGGCATGAGGGTTTTCTTCATCCCAAATGTGACTGTTACGGCTATTAAAATAACTCGTCAGTGAACAAAACGTAGCGACCAAAGTTTGGTTGCCTCAACTCCTGCTGCAGCCACCAACGACAAAAACGTCGACGCGGCAGATAGTCTTCTGGACCCACGGCTTGGACTTTTAAAAGGTGGTATGGGTGTAGTTGCTGGTGTCATGGAGAACCCGCCAAACAGTAGTTTGAGACGCTCCCATATCATGTGCAATAGCACGCACGCTTGTACGCGGATTGGCCTCTACATGGTGCAAAATCGCTTCCTCAAATTCTACTGTGCGCCTTGTGAAGGGCCGCCCTGCTCCCGCGAGGTGTCTGATGCTGCCACTGACACGAAGACGTCCATGAATCCTTGCAAAAAATGGCGTGATGCAGATGAGGACGTTCTGGAAACCGTTGGGCGTAGATTCGCGAGGCTCGTCTCCGTTACCACCAGCTTTTCCGTAAATTAAATGCATATCCGCAAGTTTCGCATACGAATAACGCTACATTTTAACACTAAGGTACTGTTATTTACTATCTAGTTTGACGCACCACTCAGACAAATTAAATAAATCGGTGTGGAGAATTTACGATAACAAAAATGTAAACACAGCAGGCTTTTTTTACAAACCGGCGAGATCATGAAATGTGCTAGACGAACATTTTGCAGCTGGTGAATTTTTTGTTTCTCCTATGAGCTCTTAAGGTAAAATTAGCGGTAGTGCTCAAACGGCATATTTACGAACAGGGGTTTATAAGGCAAAATTGCATATTTTTATGCCCTCTACAACCCCTATCATTTTGTCGCAATAATTATGGAACACCCTGTATATATATACTAACACTCATTTTGATCCTGTTTACCAACAAAACGGTATTTACAGCAGTGAACTGAGATATTTCTGAAAGGATCAATTTTATCTCCCCTGCCCTGTTTATCACCCTACACTACTTCCTTTTAATTCCACTATATTTTGGCACAGGTAAACTTGTTCTGCTGGAACTGATATGGTTGCAGTTGTACACCTAGGGACAATACATTATTTATAAATCAAAAGAAAGGAAACGTACTATCATTTCCCGAGATATACTTAGGAAAAACGATTTAACCCAAAATATGGGCGCCATATCAGATTTGGTCGATTCTGATTCCAAAAATGTATATATCATACATTGGCATTGCAAAACCATAGTAATTTCCAAAAGTGCTTATGTTTTCATGCTTGGCTTTGACAATTTCTAAAACGCGCATTCAAATAATTTGCCCGTTTTCTATTTTTTCCACTACAGAACGTCTATACTTAACATAGCCCTGAGCCAATATTATTTGAATGAAAGATGAAATGTGTTTAGAGTACCCTCTTATACCGTTTTCAATGTTTTGATTATCATTTTCAAGTGATATGAAGAAGTTAGCATTATTCTTCATTCGATATGTTGAGACCAACTATACTTTAGTTTCATAAATACGCAACATTGCCCTCATTTAATCGACCTCGTATCTCTTACTGTTTCCGAGATTCCACTGGTGAGGCTCAAATTTGATTCACTTGCTATATGATATGACTTAAGCGTCCTTGATTCTTATCGATTCTTCACTCGAGTTTGCACAAACCCACAAAATATACAAGTATGTTATATTTTTTTTTGCTAAATTTTACTAAAAGTATTACCGGTATTACCATCCGAAATTTTCTTACTAAACTTTGTAAATACTTTGTTCCAGAACGGTGAAAGCCTCGACGGAACGCAGTATGGTGGAAAAATTCCAGCCGTGAGTGAGCTACTTTTAGAGCTGATGGTGCGGATAACCGCACAACCGGATCAGTGGGAGAAAGTTCATAAATTATTACGTAAGTTGCCAGTTTATTACAGACCGCTTCAAAGTTGCATGAACCACATCGCGGGTGATCAGCAGACAGAGTGGATTGAAAATTGAAATGGATTACCTTCAATCCAGACAAATGCACTTACTAGTTACTGAATATTTCAAAGGATACAGTAACTGCAATAAATACATATAAGTAATACATGAAGCTTGAAAAAGCTATAGCACAAGCAGATCCGGCTTTAATTTCGGAATAAAAGATGATGAGAGTAGGAGCTCTGCCTTCTGTTGTAAGATTGAGAGGTGTATAAATCGTCAGCTTCTGGAGTACCTCGAACGTCACGGCTTGATTAGCGTCAGGCAGAATGGTTTTCCGCACCAGCGATCCACAGGGGCCTCCTAGCTTACGTTACGCAATTCTGGGAGTAAACTCATCCAGTCTTAAGGTGAGGCTCATATCGTTGCTCACAAACTGGAAATTTGCTCATGTCCAACGTATTCCAAACAGGGGATCTAAGTCCGACCCTTGCAACTACAGGCCTATAGCTCTGCTTTCTGTTATAAGTAAGGTGATGGAGAGGTACATAAATCGCGAGCTTCTGGACTACTTCGAACGTCACGGCTTGATTAGCAGCAGGCAGAATGGCTTTCGGCACCAGCAATCCACAGGGAACCTCCTAGCTCACGTCACGCAATTGTGGAGTAAACTCATCCAGTCTTAAGGTGGGGCTCATGTCGTTGCTCTTGATATCACGAAAGCGTTCGATCAGCCGTGGCATGCTGCCTTCTTATAAAAACTTCCATCCTATGGCCTCCCAGTGGAGCTTTGCAGATGAGTGGCTGACTTTCTGTCTCGCCTCAAGATATCTGTCGTAATTGACGGGTTCTACTCTTCATCCCACAACGTCAACGCGAGTGTTTCCCAGGAATCGGTCTTGGCTCCAACACTGTTACTCTTACATATCAACGACCTCCTTTTCTATACGGTCATCCTAATCCACAGGTGCTGTGCTGATGACAAAACTCTACATGCAGGAATTCTCATTAACCATAAAAAGCTAATCGTATGAAATATTGTTATATGTCAAAAGTGTAGACAATTTTATGCTTTACAATTTATCATCTTTTATTCTTAGGATTATCCTTTGTATCGTCTTATTTCAGTGCGTTATTATCAAATTATTATTGAAGTTGCCAGCTTATTACAAACCGCTTCAAAATTGTATACATCACATTTAGCTAACGAATTCGAATGGGTTAGGAACCACATTGCATTGCTTGTTGCCCAAATTGCGTAGGTTCGGTGCATAATTTTGAGTCAGTTGACTACCAATGCCTACCAAAGTGACAGCGTTGTATCGACACAATACCGGTGGAAACATCTACCTTCATTAGGCTTGCAAATTATGTAACAAGTACCATGTATATAATAATATTAAAAATATGAACTCATGACATGATTGTCATGAAATTAACTTATATCAAGTGCACTTGTACTATGTGCTGTGACCCTCACCTGAGAAGTAGAAGACAAACAAATCCTTGACTACCTAGTCTCAACCCGTAGCACTCAACAATGCTCAAGCAAATGCATTTGCTACCGACTGGACATTTTAAACCGATATAGACAACCAGGCAATATCTTAATTGACCGGGCAGTGATCAGCTATTGTAGTTGGGCAGTAATTTTAAACACATACTACGAGTGCCCTGTCAATATAATTCGCCGGGAAATGACGTATACGAGTATGTAAGGTTATGTGATACACAATTTGTGGTCATGTTTTATGTATTATTTACAAAGGCATTGATATTGTCTTTTTCACGAGTATTCATTTTTGTAGAATAATAGCTAATTATCTTGTAATATTTCTAAATTCCCCATATCGGAAAATGACACATAAATCTGACGTATCCGTGAGCGCCAGGTAGGTATACAGAGCCGTATTTTTTTTACACTACAGATTCAAATTTTACTTGCTAGCAGCTCTTTTATTTAGAAAGGATCTTGCATACAAAGAAAAACGCTACAAGCATGTCTTACTAAATTTCCACCAGATTCATTATTGCCAAAGTTACAGACTAAAACAAGTATGTCACTTACTGATCAGCTGTTCACCTCAGTAGGCGTCAAAACGTGATGGATACTTGTAAAATGAGGTTTAGTTGAGATAAAGTCAATTACTATTCAAACTGGTATTCTAATGTAATGTGCAGACAATGTGTTTTTAGTATCTTTCGATATACATATTTCAAACGCCTTTACTTTATTTATCAAAGCAGTGTTCAGAGTCAATAAAAATTAGGTATACTTTATCAAAATTATAACATAAACCTGTAATTTTCATGTCGGTATCACATAAGCAGTGTGAGCTATCGGAAAATATATGTTTTAAGGATTAAACTTCTCTGCTTTGATCGCTGAAGAGTAAGAGATAACGTTATTTGACAGGGATTCTCGTCTTCGAACATTCTTGCGAAATACTAGACTCCTTTGGATTTATTTTCTCGGAAGTTGTTTGTGTTATTTGCTTTAGAGTAATGTAGATGAATTACAAAGGATTCTAAGAAAAGTAGACGTAGAAGGCAGGCTTCATATAGCTTTTCCTGGTTGACTGAAGGAGGTGGAATAAGTCCTGAAATTGATGTGATTAATAAGATTCCAGTTTTTGGAATAAATGTACAAGATGGAATGGAGTGAATCCACCAAAAGGAAATTATAAATTAAACTTAGACAAATTCCAAATATTGAGCTAAATATGCCATGCTAAAATCTAGCTCGTTCAAATTTATTCTTCAAAATGTTACCTATGACTCAATTTGTTTTATTATGATACCATGAAGATTAAGGTCTAGGGTTTTGTGTAGAACAAGGTAACCGAGGAGGTCAAAACGTTAGTATCCAGTCAATTCAACATAGTATGTGAATTTCTGTCTGCGTGAAAACCACACAATAAGTTTCAGATGTTACATAAAAAAGATTAAAATTTTTGAACTTAGCATGTCGGGTGGCTAGAGCCTACAATCTATCTATTTTTATACCAAAACTTGTTTGCTGGTATCGTTTCCTTATTTTTATTACTCAGTATTATGTTATGATAGAGTATAGAGATCTAAATAAGCAAAATAGTAAACATTTACCTTGATTAAATAGACCCGTTTTGAGATATTTACGTTCCAACATACTACCGCACAGTCAAATAGCTGGCTCAAACAGAGACCGATCACAGTGAAATGTACTTTGGATAAGATACCAACATTATTATCAATACTTTGCAACATCGATTTGTCTGAGGTATCGTCAACAATTCATCCAATGTGCATTTCTCGTTTACACTATTCTTTAATGTGCAATAGATTGGTGAAATGCAAATACCCCAACAGGGATTTCATTAATGAAAATTATCACTTTATCATAAGTTTTGGTTGAAAATAATGGAACAGTAGGTCCTAGCAAAAAATTTGTAGCATAAAATAGCGAGATCATAACTAAAGTACGCTCTACGTACTATGTTGACAAATATAATACAATCGTGCTCCTTCCTATTTACAATTTTCATGTTAATATCACAAAAACGGCTTGAGTTATGGAGAAAAATGATTTTAAAATAAAATTAAAATGAACACATTGTAAGCCGTTGATGAGTGACATTTTACTAAGGTTTATTTCGCTCAATATCGTTATTTTCGCAAGTGTAATCTAGGACTGCTTATAGTGCATATAGAGGATATTTATACAAGTCGTTAACTTTAATTGTTATTATAATAACGCTATGTTTGTTGTATATTGTGGATTCGAAAAGAAGGTGTTTTAAGAAAATACATTTGTAAGTTTCTGCTTCCCATGCCTACTGGCCTGCAAAAAATGAGACGTTTTTTTTTTGAATGAACACAATCCTATATGAACTGATAAGGGGGTTGCGTGGGAATTGCAGTGTCAAAGTACTAAACGCCATATTTTTATACCTAATATATTTAATCCAATTTGTGCACCACTGTCATTATAAACATGTGCATGACACACAATTCTTTTCTACTGATCTTTTATGATAGTGACAAATACCATAGAATATAAACGAATTCTCTGGTGTTCACAGCCAGTGATCGTAAAGATTGCTTTACCATTTGTGAATAGCGAATGCAGACAATTCGATGATGACAGCTTTATATAAAGTTAAAAGACTTCATCCATCTGTTTTTTTCATAAATCGAATCAACAATAATAATACGATGGACGTATGGGGCAAAAAATCAAATTTGATGCTTAAGAAAGAGAAGAAGGTTTGACCAGAGAATAGTAATATCTATCTGCAAATTGGCTGAATCCCAGGAAAAAGCTGTCGCAGAAAGGCCAAAGATAGATTTTATACATTTTTTTTTCTTACTTACATACTGCTTTTTCTCTGCTTGTGAGTAGTATTGCCCCCATAGCCCATCTCTAGATCCGCCACGGTTCATAATTCAATGTTCATGCATTGCACCTAAAAGATACTTCGCGATCTTTAAGGAAATAGGTACATTTGTACTTTAAAAATTTCGCATCTTATCTTAAATTGAGTATTTTATTTTTCAGGTAACATCGACGATGATCTAGTCACATCAAGAGATGTTATCAGAAGGTTGGAAGCGGCAACCAACACACTGAAAAAAATCGAAGAAAACTTGAATCATGATAAAAAGAACTTATCTTCAATGAAAAGCAAAGGGCGCATAAAAGAAAATAAAAAGCCCACAAGAAATTATTCACATGACAATGGGAAACACAGAGCCATACAAACAAATTTTTCAGACGTAGTAGAGGAAAAGGAGTGGCCTAGCAGTAGTAATAGTAGTGTACAGTTTGTAAATATTAGTAAAGTCAGTAGTGATAAAAATAACGAAAATCAGTCACAGATGGATAGTAAGCCTGTGAAATCGACATATCAGAAGAACTTTGCATATCACAGAGTAACAGGTTAGTATAAAATGTATGCATATTTTTTATTTTTTGATATCATTTGGCATTATTGCTAGAATTATTTGAAGTATCGCACTTAATTGCCCCTGCAGGTACGTATCCATAAAAGAAAAGTGCTGCATTATGTTCCAGGTACATGTGCCAGAAATGCAAGAGGTCTGCAATATCTTTCGGAACAAACGCCAGAAATAATGCTGAGCTAAGTGACTATGGCGCGCAACATGCGGCATGTGCTGCAAACTGTTGCAGAGACTGAGTCAATATATGGCATATGAGTCAGCCAATTTTGTACGGACAAAATGTTGCAGATATCGAGATAAATAAATGTACCGGGCGCTAGACGCTCTCAGTATTGTTAAAGGCGACGACTGACTGAAGCCGAGCGCTATAATGTAAATCTATGTACAGATATGTCACACCACCGCGAACCGAACCACGCGATGAACCGCAGCGCGTGTATTTTGACGAACAACATTGCAACGAGCATCACCACAAACCGAACCACGTCGTGTAACCACATCGCGCAACAAAATGACCATCCAATTTTGATGTTTGTCGTTTAGTGAAAGACATCATTTTTTTTTAATTTATTGTAATTCAGGTTATGTTTTGCATCCCACAACAATTCCCCTGCTCTGTAATGCTCTATAAGCAAAAGAGTTTTTTCCTCCGACCATTCCTTCTTTTTTTCACGAGCTCTATCCATTTACTGATATGAGCGCATACTCGCCGCACCGGTATCCCTGTCCAAACATGTGCAACTTCGGCGGGAGCCTTTCCTTTGATGTTACGCTGAAAAACAGACAGAGTCTGGATCGGGCCGAACGGCGAGGTGTAACGCTTATCAGGTTCGCGACGGCGTTTTTGTCACCGTCTACACTAGCGCGGCGCGGTTCGTCATGTGGTTCAGTTCGCGGTGTTGTTACATATCTGTACATAGCTTAATGTAACATAAAAATTCGCTAGTGAATCGTTAAAGCGCGCACCGATCAGAGCCGCTGACGTCGAGGAAATCGTGCTCCACTTGACTGTTAGTTTCTGACGAATACCTTAGATGGTTACGAGTACATCACAAGTCAGTACAGGAGCCGACTGGTTCGACTTGGTCTCCCTGGTCTTGTTATTTTATTAGTTGAGATAGAGCTCTCAACACACGTTATTGATGGCGTGGTCCCAGGAAAAAACTTATCTTTTATTGATTTATATCGAACTATGAATATACAATGGGATCCGCAACATGTATGTTCTCGAATCTGGCATTCTCGATTCGATTTGTCACTCAAAAATATCGAACGTTTCGCCATCGGTGTCGCATGCATATGCGACACTCGAATTTCATTTTTGTGATTCTTCTCATCGTTTTTCACCGTGCTGTCACTTTTCTAAAGGTATTTGATTTTAAGAGAAGCGTTGGAGGATGGTCAATAAAAAAAGTAGTATTTTAAAGGAAACTCCTACTTTGTTATTTCCTATTCTGTTGGTGAAAAATATATCTAACACGTAATTAATTGTCGTATGGTCTTAGTTTCGCAAAATTTTGTCGAATGAAAGGTGTCGATTGCGAGATGCCCATACTAGGGTCGGTTGTAACACCAATGGGGGACAGTTATAAAACTCAAAAATAACACATAAATCAGGCATTTAAAATTAGTTTTAATAATAAAAGTACCGAAATATACTTGAGTATATTGACAATATTTATGACACGTTTAAGTAAATAATAATCAGGCATTTAAAATTAGTTTTAATAATAAAAGTACCGAAATATACTTGAGTATATTGACAATATTTATGACACGTTTAAGTAGTCTTTTTAGATAAATGTTAGGACTAAACTTGGACAAATTAACAGAAATAACATTTTTTGCTTTGGAGTGTTTCACTCGAGTGGCTTTATAATTAGACTTTACAAATAAAAATAACCTCAATAATAATTAAAAAAAAACAATCAAGTAAATCAAAATTAAAAAGAAAATATTTTTCCATATAATATTTAATCAGTCGCATCATAGTTATGACCTACATATATACGTATATATATATATATATGAGCGGTATTCATTGCCAAAGCCAACGACCAGTTAGGTACAAAATATAATTAATTGTTAATTGGGAAATTGGCAAAACTCTTAGGCTTAAGTTGACTCTTTTGACGATAAAATCAAGCTTTTATCAGGATTCTGAAAACACAATTGTGATGCTAGCAAAGAAAACAGGACAGATTTGTATTGTCAGACAACTTACTCGTCGGTGAGGTTGCATCCACAAGGTGTTTCAGAACGAACGTAGAGAAGATCGAACTTATAATCAGTATAAAAACAAAAGGACGGGGACATTGGGTTTGTTGTAAAACGACAGATACCTTCGTTAAATGTTAAAAATATCAATCCACCCGAACAAGTTAAAAATATTACACGTGAGACGACATATTGTTGAAACAATCGGAATGCAGTTTCTAACCTTCTGTTTCCGCTACACGTGGAGAGGGGGCCGGCACGGAAAGATAAAGCGTCGACAGATGACACGTGATTGACGCGAGGGACCGTAGAACTGTAAACCTCCCTGTCCAGCTTTGGGTATGAAGTATACGAGGGACGCTCGGTAAACCTCCACCCAAAATTACTAAATTGCTGGATTAACTTGTCTTGGAAAAAATTGTGTAAAAGTAAAAAATTATGATTGTAAGAATGTGTGATATGTAGCCGTTCTATCTTTTCGCAATTCAACAGGTAGGAATAAATGACACTGAGCTGCTTAACATCAGCGTTTTTATTCATGCAACGATCTGTCATGAAAATGTGGGACATTTCTAAAAATAAACGTTTTGAGAGTCTTTTTTCTCTATCAAGAACCTCAACACTGCCATAATTCATAGAGTGACCTGTGTTGTTAATATGCGATGCCAAAGCACATCTCTCTGGATGTAATCTGGCGTCACTTTTGTGTGAAGTTATCCTGCCTTTCAGCGACCTAGAAGTTTGGCCTATATAAACTAAATTGCAGTTGTTCCAATTAATACGATAGACAGTATTGGTTGAATCAAGCAACTGAACCTTATCCTTCATTTTGGACAACAAACTGTTGACTGTGAGCACTTATTTACAAGCAAAATGACAATTAAAGGAATTATACAGCCTGATCAATTTTGGTGATAGTTCTTTGATGTATGGCAAAACAACATAATTAACTCTGGAAGTAGGAGCAACCACTGTAGTGCTGTTGTTCTCATTAGTTGAAGAAGTAATGGGTGTCTGGTTGGACTGACCAGTGTTGTCATTTTCACTATTGTTATTAGTCATTGGCAAAATATTCGGAGGAGAGCTGAACAAGATTGTGTTAACCAAATACTCAGGATAGCCATTATTGATAAATAAGACTGAAAGCTTCCTTAAATTGGAAAGATGGAAAGTACTGTCAGAGATTTTTATAACCCTGTTCTTCATTTGTTTCACCAGGTTTATTTTTATTTTAAGTTCATGGTAAGTCCTGGAGTTCTGGAACCTTCCGGAAGAAATTGGCTTCCTGTACCAGTCTACCAGTAATATATTAATAATAATAATTAACGTCTTTTATTTGTAATATTCTTACAGGAGGCGAGATTTAGATTATATATCTATTCTACCATCTAACCGCCCAACATATTGTCATTGGTACGAATCAATCTTGAATCCAAAAATGGAACAGATTGATTGTCATCTTCTTTTTCGATGGTGAACTGGATGTAGGGATCAAAACTGTTAAAACCTCAACAACATCATCCCCCCTATCATAAGGAAGACAAACGATTATATCGTCCACATACTTTTTTATAAAATCTAGATTGCATGGCAATACTTGAATAACAACATCAAGCAGGTCATCCATTATATATTCTGCCAAAATTGGAGATAAAACACAGCCCATGGGGCAGTCATGTGTTTGTGAAAACACTTTGTTATTAAAGGTAAAATAATTGTTCTGGAAAAGGTACTCTACGATATTGATTAAAGAATCCAGATTGTTGACTGTGAGCACTGATTTTCAAGCAAAACGACAACTAAGGGATTCTTTCATCAATATCGTAAAGTACCTTTTCCAGAACAATTATTTTACCTTTAATAACAAAGTGTTTTCACAAACACATGGCTGCCCCATGGGCTCTGCTTTATCTACAATTTTGCAGAATATGTAATGGATGACCTGCTTGATATTGTTATTCAAGTATTGCCATACAATCTAATTTTCATAAAAAAGTATGTGGATGATATAATCGTTCGTCCTCCTTATGATAAGGTGGAAGATATTGTTGAGGTTTTTAACAGTTATGATCCCTACATCCAGTTCACCATCGAAAAAGAAGATGACAATCAATCTGTTCCCTTTTTGGATTCAAGACTGATTCGTACCAATGACAATATATTACTGGTTGACTGGTACAGGAAACCAATTTCTTCCGGAAGGTTCCTGAACTTCAGGTCTTACCATGAACTTAAAAAAAATAAACCCGGTGAAACAAATGAAGAACAGGGTTATAAAAATCTCTGACAGTACTTTCCATCTTTCCAATTCAAGGAAGCTTTCAGTCTTATTTGTCAATAATGGCTATCCTAAGTATTTGGTTAACAGAATCTTGTTCAGCTCTTCTCCGAATATTTTGCCAATGACTAATAACAATAGTGAAAATGGCAACATTGGTCAGTCCAACCAGGCACCCATTACTTCTTCAACTAATGAGAACAACAGCACTACAGTGGTTGCTCCTATTTCCAGAGTTAATTATGTTGTTTTGCCATACATCAAAAAACTAACACCAAAATTGATCAGGCTGTATAATTCCTTTAATTTTCGTTTTGCTTATAAATCAGTGCTCACATTCAACAGTTTGTTGTCCAAAATGAAGGATAAGGTTCAGTTGCTTGATTCAACCAATACTGTCTATCGTATTAATTGCAACTACTGCAATTTAGTTTATACAGGGTGACTTCGAAGTTGAGTCATTTATTTTAACAGTGAGTAGATCTGATCAAAAGAAATGTTTTTTCCTTTACCATTTTTCTGGTAAAATTAAAGTAACAAAGTTATAGCCCTTTGGAAGTTTGAGTACCGCCCTGCCTATTATATGCTCGTGTTTGGCGACAACGGATATAATCCGCCTGACCGGTTCATCGCATCGGAAACAAAAAAGCGAAAGAATTTGAAATGTTTATCACGATGTTTTTCGTCAGTCGATAACGCGTAAGTGAATAGTAGTGTGTTGCGTGGTTCAAACGAAATCAAAAATGGCACATGTTTACGAAAATGCTGAACTTGTGGACATGATTCTTATTTACGGGGGGGCAGTCTTTACAAAATGCTCCCGGATGCATCACGGATTTACGCGAATCGGTTTCCCAATCGAGTGCAACCAACCCCTCGTGCCTTTGTTAATGTAGTACAAAGGGCTCGTGAATCAGGTGACTTAAGACCTCACAGGTGAGGGCATGCTGCTCCAAGACCGCACGATCAAATACAGGTCCGCACTGAAATACTTGTCGGGAGGATACTTTATTAAACAAGGTAACATTTTTTTTTATTTTTTTTTATTTTTACACACATATTTTGGTTTATCTTCCTTCTACAATCATTATCTGAAAATTAATGACTCAACTTCAAAGTCACCCTGTATAGGCCAAACTTCTAGGTCGCTGAAAGGCAGGATAACTCCACACAAAAGTGACGCCAAATTACATCCAGAGAGATGTGCTTTGGCATCGCATATTAACAACACAGGTCACTCTATGAATTATGGCAGTGTTGAGGTTCTTGATAAAAAAATAGACTCTCAAAACGTTTATTTTTAGAAATGTCCAACATTTTCCTGACAGATCATTGCATGAATAAAAAGGCTGATGTTAAGCAGCTCGGTGTCATTTACTCCTACCTACTGAATTGCGAAAAGCTAGAACGGTTACATGTCCAAATTGAACCAACATCTTCACAAAATTGGAATACATTTTCTCACTCACATTTTTAATATAAACTCACATAACCCATCTTTTCAAGGTTGTATCAATATCACACATTCTTACACTCATATGAACTACACAATTTTTTCCAAGACAAGTTAATCCAGCAATTTAGTAATTTTGGGTGGAGGTTTACCGAGCGTCCCTCGTATACTTCATACCCAAAGCTGGACAGGGAGGTTTACAGTTTTACGGTCCCTCGCGTCAATCACTTGTCATCAGTCGACGCTTTATCTTTCCGTACCGTCCCCCTCTCCACGTGTAGCGGAAACAGAAGGTTAGAGACTGCATTCCGATTGTTTCAACAAAGTGTCGTCTCACGTGTAATATTTTCAACTTGTTCGGGTGGATTGATATTTTTAACATGTAACGAAGGTATCTGTCGTTTTACAACAAACCCAATATCCCCGTCCTTTTGTTTTTATACTGATTATAAGTTCAATATTCTCTACGTTCGTTCTGAAACACCTTGTGGCTGCAACCTCACCGACGAGTAAGTTATCTGACAATTCAAATCTGTCCTGTTTTCTTTGCTAGCATCACAATTGTGTTTTTAGAATCCTGATGAAGGCTCCATAGAGAATGCCGAAAGCTTGATTTTATCGTCAAAAGAGTCAACTTAAGCCTAAGAGTTTTGCCAATTTCCCAATTAACAATTAATTGTATATATATATATATATATATATATATATATATATATATATATATATATATATCCTTTAATTTCTTTGGGTAGAAAGCAAAGTATTGCAAAGGTACACTCTTATAACTTAAACCCTCAAGCTTTCGAAGATCTATGTCTTCATCGTCTGGAGTAAGTCGGCGAGAATGTTGCTGAAATTGTTTTTAAACAACAGTGAAGGGAACACATAGTCGACGAATAAAAAACTTTACTGATCAGGATCGATTAGGATATTATTAAATGGAAAATCATTTTGAAAGGTTTTTTTAATTAAACGTTGATTTATTTTGGAAGAAATTTGGAAATTTTAAAACTATCAGCTATTGAAAATTCCTTCGAGATCGCATCTTCTTTTTTTTCACTGATAACCTCCACATTATCCAACACGTGCCGGCCGACTGACATTCTACAGCAGCGTATGAAGTGTGACATTGAAAATGATATCGTACTGTGAAGTGTGTTGCCTAATATGTAAGGCGTTTTGTAATATATAGTGCAAGAGGTTGCCCTATTATTGACCGATGAAGTACAGAGATATTTTCAAAACCTGATAGAAGTTGCTTCGGAAGGAGTGTGATTTGGATGTTATCCTACCAAAGAACTAAGAAATCTGTAGGGGATATTCACACTTGAGGACAAAAGACTTTGAGCAATTTTGATTTCGATTTTATTAAGATACTGAAGAATTATTTTATGTAGATTGAGCGATTATTGGGAGAAATCGTCAGTCGGCCGGCACGCGTTGGATAATGTGGAGGTTATCAGTGAAAAAAAAGATGAAATATCGAAGAAATTTTCAATAGTTGATAGTTTTAAAATCTCAAAATTTCTTCAAAAATTAATCAACGTTTAATTAAAAAATCTTTCAAAATGATTTGCCATTTAATAATAAAATAACTCCGTCCTAATCGAACCTCATCAGTCCAGTTTTTATTCGTCGACTATGTGTTCCCTTCACTCTTGTTTAAAAACAATTTCAGCAACAATCTCGCCGACTTACTCCAGACGATGAAGACATAGATCTTCGAAAGATTGAGAGTTTCAGTTATAAGAGTGTACTTCTGCAAAACTTTGCCTTCTATCCAAAGAAATTAAAGGATATCTTCTCCTAACAGTTAAGACAATTAACTATGAATACTATATATATATATATATATATATATATATATATATATAACTTGGGACGTGGTCATTGTCGTCTAGACCAGTTAGGTGAAAAATTAAAGCTTCCGCCTTTTGTTGGGCACTTCTACAAAATTTAAGCAAATAGGACTCTTTATACTTTTTTAATTCTCTCTAGCTTTCAATGGACTTTGCCATCATCCATCCAGCTCGCACCATGTTACTGGACGTTTCCCTCATCCTATACGTAAACAACAATTAGCAACATCCTCACATACTACTGTAAGTTGAGTCAATTTAAATTCATTTTACACTATTGTTGCTACTGTTATCATTGTAATTGCAACTCCTGATGATGATGGCATAGCCCATTGAAAGCTAGAGAGAATTAAAAAAGTATAAAGAGTCCTCTTTGCTTAAATTTTGTCGAAGTACCCAACAAAAGGCGGAAGCTTTAATTTTATATATATATATATATATATATAATATTTACTCTCATCAGAACAAGCTACGTGAGACTATTGCTTGCAGCCCCAGACACTAAATCCATCTTTCTCTAGATTGACTTGCTGAATCTAGGCACAGAAGGCAATAATATTATTCTTCTTCATATGATTCCTATGATGCGTTGGTCCTCTGTTTCTTTGCTTCCTCTTTCCCTTTGTCTGTCCTTTGTGTAGATGATTGCAGTACTTTTTTGTATGTTTTTCATTCGTTTCTGTCACAGTTCATATCGTTTTCCAACAGCTTGCTTTTGAGGAGTATTTATATAGATCACAGACTTTTTGATTTGTCGACGTCTGTTTTCTGCTTTGTTAGGAAGAGTTTTAGGGTAAGGAAATAATGTTTCAGACGAGATAATGACTGTTAATGTAGATGGAAGAGGTACTGGATGCTGAAGCAAAACAGCATCACGAGGAGAGGTATCTAGTTCCAGATTCAATGTGAGTTGCAACATTTGGTTAGCTTCTGGATGTGTTTTTCTGAGCGACGTTTTTGTTGCTAGGAGCTCGGCGATTTCAAGAGATGTATGCATTTGGCTATCAATAAATGTTAATTTTTGGAATTGACTGGACGCACTGGGGTTTGAATCTCTGTTGGTCAATGTGAGCTGAGAGGTAGCTTGTTCAGTTGATGCTCTATTTTCAGGCTTAGTTGGTTGTACTGCGCTGAAAGGAGTTGAGTCCAAATTTAGTACTGATGATGGCAGTGCCAAAGTGGTCTCATAATCAGGTGCAAATCTAATGCTATGTTGATGAGAAATGATCGCCTCTTTAGTAGCATATTGGATTGGGCATATCTGTCACAAACGATAGTGCAATCAAGCCCCTAGTTTGACCTTATACGTTTCCTAGGTATCTGCAATAAAGAAAATAAAATTACCGTTACAACTGTCCACATGAACATCGTTACAACCCTACCCATTCTCCCTTTTTGGTAATAAAGCTGTCACAGATACGAAGAAACATAACCTGAACAAAAATCTCTGTAAATAGAATAATTACATTAATATTTAAGCTATGTCATAAATGAACTCGTTAAAAATATTTACTTTTGGTTGACATTTATTATTTGTTCTCACGTTTTGGCGTGTTTAACTATCGTGGGAAATAGTGTACGCATGCTAATAAATAATATTGATCGACAAAGATGAAGTCAGATAATATACGGCACTACAAGCACTTATTAAGGGTGAATCTGCTTCAAGAAGTTATCATCCCTCTTAGCTGTCCAATATAATAACAACAATAACCTAAACTACAGTCCATTAAACGTTTTTTTTTTCTATTACAGGTATTCCAATGAGCTTAAACAGGCCCCCTAAAGCGTACATGGCAGTATCTGTACCTGATCCCCAACCTCAAGTACCTTTGTCTTCCTCACATACATCCAATGAGGAAGACGCCATCTTGGAAAATGAACTGCATCAACTGAAACCGTGGAAACCGAAACATGAAGTAGAAAATAACGGGGAATTAAATTGACCTTACCGAGAAAAATCTGCTCAATAAAGAGGAAGAGGACAGAGTCGTGTAGTTGACAGTGATGCGCTAACCTTTTTGTATCATAAATTACAGACTACACGGTCTGGAGATGGAAACGAATATTGGTAGCAGTAGAAGAATTGATAAAGCTCAGGAAGGCTTCGTTGGCCTAAGGCCAAGGATACAAAGATAGAATTATTCATAAAATATTTTACAAAGCAACAAATATGGATTCTATTTCCCATTCTTCTTTGTGAGAAATATCATTATACATTCAATCTACTTTTCCTGGAAAATGGAAATCTCCTACCACAGATTCCGTGAGAACCCACATGCCTAGGTGCGACTCAAGCCAATAATCCATATCAAATGATGATCTTATGTATTAATTTTTGATTTATAACGCTGAATCAATCATATAAGTTAGGTTCATCCGTTTCCGATGGTATGGTCGAGTTGTACCAAAGAGCCGGTCATTTCAGCTTATGAAAGACCAGATCAGGATTGACCTGGCATATCAATAACGGCACCTGCTAGGAAAAATCTAGGCTATTTATGTATGGCTAAGAAATACGTTTCTCCACATGTCATCCTCACTCTGTAGGAGGCCCAGGTAAGACCTAGCCTCGAGTAATCTTCACATGTTTGGGGGGCTGCTACCCGACTATATTATTCATGCTCGACGCGGTTCAAAGGATGGCTATCCGACTGATCGATTACTCTTCTCTAACGAACATTCTCGTGACCCTTTGGCACCGGCGGGCCACCGCGCGATGTGCCCGCCAGACAGAACCGCCTGACTTCGACCTGACATCCTAACCGTGTCGAACTATGTACATCCAGAACTGACCGATATGATCGTTCCTTTGTCCCTACGGTGTTGAGATTATGGGACAATTTATATGAAGGTTTTCCCAGTTCAGCTAACTTGGGCAGTTTAAAAGTCGGATTAACAAAGTTTCTTTAACCTTCTCATAGCAGCCGCGGTGCTCTATCATTTGGGCTTCTGAGAGAAAGAAATTATATTCTTGAGGTCCCTTTAGAGGGGCTCTCTCTTTCCTATCTGCCACGAAAGCTGAACGGACGTTTGATTTGATCAGCGATTATAGGTGTCAAGACCACTCTGTATACACGACTGAAGAGAGACCTCGATAAGTGAAAATAAAAATTCATATAAGCATGAGTCTCCATTATGTCACCCATTAATGCACGCGACTTGAGACACGTGAAAGGGTCATCAGTCAATCGAAACCACATGGGGGATCGATACTGACACCCGTCCAATCCTGGGAACCCCAACCGTTTTATTTCATTGATGGTCTTGCACCACGCATACCTTGAAGTGGAAACCCTTCTTCTAACAGATCCTGTGGAGCTTTATGTTATGGGCTCTTAGTATAACACGAAGGCTCAAATAAGCATGTGCTATGAATATCAAAGAATGTGTGAATTCTGTTGCATCGGGTGTTGGTAATTTCTGGTAATAAGTATATGTATGTCACCGGTCAGTATTTTTCTCCGTGCTCTGACAGTGCAGTTGTGTTCACGTGAGGTCGAAATGGCAAAATTTGAAGAAGAAGAAGAAGAATAAGAAGAAGAAACGAGAAGAAAACGGAAGTCCATATATTTTGAATTTGACTGGTTCTACAGCACAATATATGCGCGCACAAATTCAATTAGTTTTTCATCACTCATGTTTTTGACCAAATATATCAAAACATTCACGAAATTACATTGCCACGCCTTTTTTTTTGGTTAATTAATAAAACACAATGATAAATGCTATCTAACGGTTGGTCCAAGCAAAACAGTTGTCTAGTGGCATGCAAATTTAGACCCTAGCTCAATAAAGCGGAGAGTAGGGGCGAGTTAAGAGCGCCAATGACTTAGGACAGATTAAACCACAACTCCCCGAGATGTTAGTCGTAACTTGTTTTGCTTGACCACCACACAAAAAGAGAATCTAACAGAGATGACGAAATTTAAGTAACAGTACACACAGAAAGAGAGAACCAAATAAGCAAGATATCAAATGGATCAAAATATATTGATTAAAAAGAACAAAACGCACATTTGCTCTACCACTGGAGTGCGAGAAAGGATGTTACCAAAAAAAAACTGTCGCAAAATAAAATTAGTTGGCATTTACCATGGTATACGCTTTACATATATGTTTTACTCCTAAACTACACTTATCTGGACGGAGGTCTTCTCTCAGTTATGGCTAGGTGCAGCCGAGATGTATCCCAGGTCAAAAAGAACAAACAAAAAGAAACCAGTAGTGGGCACGTCACTGTGCAGGGGATGCTTGCCTCGGTCCCAAAATTATGATGGTCACAAGAAAAAAAAACCCTGTTCACATCAGGGTTTTTTCAACGGGATGGCTTCTAATCTGCAAAACTGCAACGATGCAACTGACAGGGGGAGAAAGGACGAGGATTTTCTTCTGTTGCGCTGAGGGTCAAAATCCCATAAAAAATGGAAGACGTAGCACCCAAACTAAACTTTAGTTACGCAACAAAAAGAAAAGGGTGCTAGTCCATGAATGGGTGCTTGGTGCCTTATATCCCAGAGTCTGGAAAACGACAAAGAGACCCCTGGACCACGACCTCAACGGAAGGAGAAAAGCGACTCACCGAATACGTAACGTTCTAGAGAAAGGAATCTTGAGTGGCCTCAAAGAAGATATGTTTTATAGGAAGCCAACTAACGGAGAAAAACTGCAGAGTTTTTTGCTGATCGTCAACACCATACTGAATCGCTGAGAAAGAAAGATATAGATATATTACGAGTGAAATTACCCAATCAATATTAATTTGCAAAAAGAAAATCATTGAAAGGGGGTTTGGCCTAGGAATGGGCACTCTATTATCAATGAAGAGAAATTAAAATTATTGGTAAGTCATAAATAGAAAAAAAAGGTTACGTGATTTTGGCACGTGGCAACATAAAAACACGGCCGTGAAAATTGAAAGATATCGTTCTAAAACAATGCGATGATCACGATACGGCGTCGTCGAGGGCACTGAGGAAACGGCCACTTCCACGTGCCCGTCTAGTGTGAATCAGTTCATCCAAATTCCAGGAAGAATCTTTTTAGTTTCGCCGGGCGTATCACGTGCCGGTCACAGCACCGTCACGTCACGGCTGAGTATGAATAGGCCTTTAGAGGTTTGCTACCATGTTCATTTAAACTTGGAAATATTGTGGAATAGGTCTAACCAACTCGGTATCCATCAAGAAGATTCCCCGGGAGAAAGTAGAATTTATATCACCCCACAGTACAATAACATACTCATACATAGTATAGATACAGACTGTTGAGTTATGGCTTCTTACACTGGTCACCGAGTATACAGGGTGAGTTTCTAGTATGCAGTTTGTCGATAGCTCCCATTATATTAAAATATGTCTAAAAATGTTACTAACAACAACTATTGACAAGCATCCAATCCTGAATTTATACTTACAAGCTGCTCTGTACAGAATGATTCATAATTACGTAACATTACAAACATAAATTTATTAAATATCTCGTAACTCCAGAGGTAGCGATTTGAACCATACACTTAGTGTATGTTTACATCGGAAGCGCTTAGCTTGGAGCTGTGCGCTTTACTTTACAGCCCAGAGGAAAGCCAGAAGAACGAGAACACTGCTTTAAATGAATGTATTCAGACCGCGCGCATGGCGCTAAGCACTGTGCCTTACGTCATACTATGCGGAGCGGTGGAAAACGCGATGTGTTGGTTTTGCGTTGCGTTTTGCCTCACTTGTTCAGAGAACTCCGAAGGTTATCTGCATGTATAATGGAAGAACAAATAATTATCACCGCCGTTTTTAGACGAGAGGCAATATGGAATCCGAAGCACCCGTTGGATAAAAATGTATATGCGTTACAAAATCTGGATAGAGGTGATACAATTCTCCGAACGATTTCCTACATATATTAATCTCAAGCACCCACGGTCGTTTTAAACGTTTTTTTTCTATTCACTTTCAACGCAATACTTTGGAGTAGCAATATTTTCTGAACTCGTAAAGGAGCCATGTTGAACTGCTTGGAAAATGCGTCTATAAATATAAGTGTGTTTTAATAGCAGCCGAGGTCTAAAAAACGATGCGCCTCCAATATGAACGAACCCGAACGCATAAAGGTTTGCTTGACATGAAGTGGGGCGAGCAACTCCAAGCGAAGCGCGTTCGATGTAAACGTGCACTTAGTGTTTACTTGTGTTAAAATATAAAATAGTCTAATCATATTAGCAGATCTCCGCGAAATAACTGTATAGTCTGGTTTTATTGGTGCAAGTTGTTCAAGGGGGTATTTAACACATGGACGCATAAAAAGGGCACACCAATTTTTCTGGGAAATCTTTTTATTCGACAACAAAGAATGAGAAAACGAGTGTTTGGGATTCAATCGAACGTGTTGACAGGAACGAAAAAAAATTTCGTATAAGATTTTTAGGTATTTATGAGAGCTACAGATACGACTAATGGCAAAAATGTTATGATCGAAAAAATGTAATTCTCATGCGAAAAGCAAAGGTTACGTTTTTTCTTCTAATCAAATTCAAACACTTCGTATTTGTGAGTAATTGAACAAATGCGCTACGATATTTGAAAAAAATACGTTACTATACACATTTTAAAACAAAGCAGATGTGTCTATCAACTGTTGTGTTGCGAATGACTCACAAATACGAAATGTAACATATATCTTCCGGAATGGTTTGCGATTCATATCGGTAAGGTAAACTAATGTATTTTTCTGTAAAATACCCTTTTAACTAACTCTGTACATTGCTCAATATGCTAGTAGTGAAGTAGTGATGGCCGGAAAACAGGTGTTTTGGAATAAACAATTAGAAATTTTCAAAAACTACTTGACCAATCTAGTCCAATTTTGTTGTGGTTATTTAGAAGTACGAATCCTACGAATTTGAAGAATCTGAGAGAAACCATCGTTGCATCACCAGCAAGTGCCAAAGGGTTGAACATCAATTCTTCTTTTTGTTTGAAAGGTAACTTAATCATGAGTCTTTCTAACTATTATATATGTCCATTCTGTCGATTGTCGGGGTCTTAAAAATGTATAATTTGTATAAAAACGAAACCCTGCGATTGATAGGAGTTCTCCGGACCTATCCAGTGGTGACCTTTAATTTGAACCTGACCATGACCTTCATGCTCATTTGAAGGTCAAGTCAATTTTTTCTAATAGAACACCCTATTTTTGACCCAGTAAATGAGAAAAGCCGAAAATGTTACGTTCAAATATGGTCTTGATTATGGTCAAGGTCAAACTCAGGTACGGTGATGTAAATTGAAAGTCAGTAGTCGTTTAGGCAAACTACACCGTCATTATTTTCATGTTTTTCACCCGGATATCAAATGGTGATCTTGGATCTGACCTTGGCCATGACTATCAAGGTAATTTGAAGGTTAACTTCATTTTAATGGGTCCCTATACTTTTGACCGCTAAAATAGGGGCAAAAATGACGAAAAGGGAAATTTTTATGTTCGATTAAACCCTTGACCATGTTTAGAGCTTGACTTTAGACTTAAACATCAAGGTCAAACACAAGTTTATCTCAATTTCTTGATAATTCAGAAATCTGTGTAGTCCCCAGATAGATTGACTTAATTGTTCACAAAAATCAACGTGAGCTTCACGTGGCCTTGAAGGTCATCATGGTTAAGGTCAAATAATGAAAATAATGTCTTGGTAGTTTGCCTATCTGATTAATGATTTAGAAGATATATCACCGTACTTGGGCTTGGCCTTTTCCCAGCCCTCCTAAGGACAAAATTTAAGAATGTTCAAGACCATATTCAAATTTTATGCTCTTTCCATTTATGAGGTCAAGAATAAGGAGTTCCATTTAAGAAAATCGATTTGACCTCAAAATTACCTTGAAGGTCATGGTCTAAGCTAAATCCAAGATCATCATTAAATAGCTGGAGAAAACACCTAACAATTAGCGAAGCTTAGTTTATTCATACTACTATTAGCGTACTCCGGGTTGGCATCCTATAACATGTATATTTGTGTTACCATCTA